TGTTCAGAACTCAAGAGCACCAGGTTGAGTTCAGGGGACTAGGAAACTTAATATGGTTGCATGTTCGAGGAAGAAAATCAAATGTCTGTAAACACATAGCATTATTCCTGCCCTAAATGACTGCCTGGTTTTGACCACCTACATGGTGTCAGCACTATTTGAATAAAACATCACGGAAGACTAAGTAGGAATGAGTTTGTGGGGGAAGATTTCTATGATTCAAATGCTTGTGTCTATGGCAATTCATGGTGAAATTCTTCCAAAACTGATGGTATTAAGAGGAGAAGCCTCTGAGAGGTAATTAGGTTCTGCAGGTGGATCTTCAGGAGTGGGATTACTGCCTTTATTACAGAGCTTAGAGGGACCCTGTTTTACTTTTCTGCCTCTTGAGGGCATGGTAAGAACTTACCATCTGTGAGTTGGTAAACAGGACATTGCTAGATGCTGAATTTACCGTTGCCTTGTTCTTGGACTTGCCAGATTCTTGAATGATGAGAAAAATAGTTTTGTTGCTTATAAGTTATTCAATCTGTGATGTCTGGTTATAGCAGCCCAAATGGATCCAGACAGAGGTCAAGTCACTGGTTTTAGACTTGCTTGCAACATGTAATAGCCTTCCAGATAGAGACGTCAAGAGAGTGTTTGATACTGAAGTCCTGAAGTCAGTGTTTGCTCAGGTTGATGAACCACTAGAGGTTTGCAGATAATTTCAGAAGGCCACAAATACAGACCTGTGTTTGCCTAGCTATTAATTAGTTAAGTAATTAAATATTAAGCACTTATTATGTTCTAAGTATTATTTTTAGGTACAGAGCAAGTAGCTCTATACAAAATTAATATGTTTAGAGCTTTAATTCTGCTGGTGATAGACAAATAATAAACAAGATAAGTAAGTGAAATATTTACTATGTTGGATAGTGATTAATAAAATAGAAGGAATAGGGAGAGAAATGGGGTGGCCTTGGCAAATTGTCTTGTGGCAGTGGGGATTGACTCAGAAAATGCTTTTTAAAAAAATTTTAGTTTTAAAACATGATCATACCGAGATGTCCAGTTTACAGCTTGTTGTCTCAGACTCCTGTGTATGTGGAGTTACAGGAATCTGCCATTGTGCCAAGTGGCTGTTTAACAGGGTGAGCAGGATGACCTTGCTAGGAAGATAACCTCTGAGCAAAGACATAAAAGGATGTGAAGACTAAGGCAGATGGCTAACTGGAGAGGAGAGGTTAAGTCCAATTAAATACAAAACACGAATGTCTTGAGAGTGGAGTATTGGCCATGTGTCTTTGATTGAATTGGAATAGGAGAGGGAGGAAGAGAATCAGTGGTGGACGAGCTTATGGAGACAGACAGTAGGAACTGAACCATGTGATCATCGTGATCACCCTGTTAAATAGCCACTTGGTGCAGTGGCAGATGCCTGTAATTCCAGCTACGTGGGAGTCTTGAGACAAAAGAACTACAAATTGGACCTCTCGGTAAGATCATGTTTTAAAACACATGTTATAGGCCCTTATACGGACTTTTATCTTTTGGTTTGGCCATGCAATTTATGTTAAATTTCTCCTCTAAAAACTGAATGGTAACTAACTTTCCAGATTTTCTATCATTCCTTCTCTTCAGGTGTATTGTATAACATGAAACATGTAGAATTGACTTTCTTTATAGTACCACATTTTTTAGAGCTCTTATTTCTATAAGGCTACATACTACATTCATAGATGTGGTCAGCAAGTCATCAAATATATACTTATATGTTTTAATGATGTATTGTTTACTAGGTTAGGCACTGTATTCACAAAGATAAAAGAGATGTGGTTCTTGTATTTCAACTATTGTAATATATACATGCATGCAGACAGTGCTGCAAGAAAACCAAAAAAAGAAACACTGTTTTACATGGACAACAGTAATAATGTGTCTGGAGAAGCCAATGCTTGAGCTGAGACCTAACAATGAGTAAACTTTAGCCAGGCAAAAGTGGAGGGAGTAGAAATAAATGTAAGTGGTAAGAAACCTAATTTAGCCAGGGTAGGCAGTATCGGATCAATGAACCTCACATCTAATGGAAGGTAAAAGAAATCAAAGCAGGAAATATTTTGGAAAGAAGTTTGCATGATAAAATTGTTATTGCATTTTTAAATTAAAAAGCACTTACGAGAATTTCAAGTAAAAAAAAAAAGCACACAAGATCCTGGAATTCAAAGAAATGATCTAGATCTCATTTTATAGATGGGATTTGACATCAGAAGAAGTTAGACTTGTTTAATACCAAACACCAAACAAATCACTAAGGACCCAATGCCAGGGGTGGTGATTAAGCCAGTGTTGTAAAATAAACATCAAAAATGAACACATTGAAAATAAACACTAGATACTGTTCTGGTTATTTTATCACTTGGATTAAGTACCTCTCTCAGCCCTAAGTGCGCATCCAACTATTTTTGGAGATCTCAGCATAATTCTTGACTTTTCTATGAATTCATTCTAATACCTCTTAGAATTAGCCCTACTTGGAGGAAATTCATTGCCTTCTGCTTGGAGGATTGCACCCAGCTCAGCTCAGTGAGTCTCCTGGGAAACTCAACATTTTCTGCTTCTTACTTTTTGATTTTGTTCTTTTACATTTTTTCTCCTTTGGACTCAGAGAACACAGACCTTACTTGGTTAAGTTAGGGCAGATATGCTAAAAGTCTAATGTGATGTTTTCTCTTTGCAGAAAACACACCAGAGCAAGCAGAAAATGCAGGAAATTATGTGTCACTGTGATGAGAAATAAATGGAAGTCGTAGAACAGAAATGGCCCTCTCGGATCACCTGCTTACCCATCACAGGATGCCAACACGGATGTGTAGAGGTAGTGTAGGTGACAGCCAGCTGAGCACATCAGACTAGATGTCCCTCGTTCCCTTTTCCTCCACATCCTCCCTAGTGACTCTCAGAGATCAGTAGGAAGCAATAGATGTTCTCAGAAAGATAATGCCAACGCAGGTGTGACTTTCGGAATAATTATATTGGGACGTATTGTATGATGAGGAAAGTCCTTCAGAAACTGTAGTTGTGTTCCTCTCACTGAGGGAATGTGATGGCTGTTTTATCTTACTAAGATGGTTACCCTGGTGAGAATACTCTTGTTTCATTTATGTGGAGGGAGAGGAGGGAAACGAGATGGTATGAAGGGTGCTCAAAATATACAGTGGATACTATTTAAGATTTTGAAACATTTATTAAAGTAAACACAATGCCATGAATCCCCCTCAAAATACTCCTCCTCACACTGAGCACTCTTATCCCATCATTCCTGCTACTTTCTGAAGCATTTCTGGAAGTCTTCTTTTATTAGTGTCTTTACAAGGTGTGATAAAAAATGCAGTGAGTGCTGCTGCTGAGTGTCACCCAATGAAAAGGGAAGCTCGTAGAAATATTATGCTGTGACTTTGTCCACTTACTTCTTGAATCTAACACTGTATGACTTCTGTCTCTTCTCCAAAGTCAAAATGAGGATGAAAAGTAAACATTTTAAGTAGATTTAGGACATGGAGGTAACCATAACAGTGCAACAACGACCCTCAGGAATTTTTCAAGGGATTAATGACAATGTGTTTTACTGTAGTAATTTTAAAAAATTTCAAACATTCATATTTATTCAGTCAGATCTCATAGACTGGAAAAGGACCTTTTTTTTTCTTTTGGTACTGGATTTTGGACTCAAGGAGTGCTGAACTATTTTTCATTTTGAGACAGTCTTGCCAAATTGCCCAGGCTGGCCTTGAGCTTGCAATCCTACTGCCTCAGCCTCCTCAACACTTACAGTTACAAGTTCTCACCATTGTGCTTAGCTGGAGAGAGAAGCCGCGATCAGGACTTTGAGGGCTTTATGTGTCTGGGAAGAATGTCCTCTGAGGAGGATTAAGGGTGGTATCCTTCAGGAGAAGGAAAGCAGGGTTTAGAAAGAAATTCCAAAATATTAGCTGTTTCCTTGAACTTCAGTCAGCTGATTTAAGTGCTAAATTTATTCAGTTTCATGGACCTCTCCGAATTTATTTTCCTATTACTATCTCCCAGAAGAAAATGTTTGTTGGGTCAGTTTAAAAGAAGCAAACAGTGCTCTCGTTAGGCCATTGATGATCAAGGAGGGATTTGATAGTAGTTCTCTGTGTGTGTGTGTGTGTGGGGGGGGGGTATTTCGCCCCTCCCAGGACATTTGATAATGTATGGAGGGAACATTTTTGGTGGGTGGCGAGAGGCTACAGCCATTTAGTGGATAGATCTGGGATACTTTCAAACACCCTGCAATGCAGAAAAAAAGCATGCTGAAATATGCAACCAAGAGTGACATGGTCCCAAGGCCCATAACGTCAAGACTGAGCAATTCTGCACCAAAACAAAGATGAATCTCATGAGAAAGGGTGGCATCATGTACCCCAGCTGTTCCCAGCTTCCAGAAGATTTTCCTGCTGATGCTCCTTATGCATGTTCTAGGCTTTCATTTTTATGAGGTAAATAGCATTTCCCTTGCTAAGGTCAGGATTTCTTACAGAAGACCTGCTTTGCAAAGACGTGAGTTTCATTTCAAGAGAGGAAAGCAGTGTTGTAGTGCAAGACTTTCCTGGGGATCATAATTTGTCAATTCTGAACAGATGTGATTTGGGGGAATGAGTTTACATTATCGTCCCTTAAACAGACACACACACAGACACACACACATGCACACACACATGCATACACATGCATGTGTAAAGAGGCTGCTGGCATCCTCACCTGGAGTGTAGAGGTATAGGGAAGGGGCAGACAAATCCATAACCTAGCAGATACTGTAAATTACAGAAATAAGGAAATGTGGTTTGCTGTGAACATTAGTACAACACTGGCATCTTAGGATCTCAAAACTCGAGGTAGTTTTACCTATGATACTTATCTCTCTGATTTCTATGCATGTAACTCATTTATTACTTGTTGATTTGAAGTTTACAGTGTTTCTTTCTCCTTTTTGTTTTCAGCCTAAGTCATGTCTTCAGTTTCCGCTTTTAATTTTGACTTATCCACCCATAAGAATGCCAAAAGCTGTTATTTCTGCAAGGTAAAATAGAATATATTAAAGAGCTTATTTAGTGGGGAATCTCACCAATAAAGAAGTAAGTTAAGTTGTTAGCTTCCTAAAAAAGGAATTTAAAGTACAAAATACATCAATGTACAGTAGGAAATGAGACATTCCTTTTTAGAGATCAGGGAACTGATCTGAAAACCTGATCACATCAGAGAATTCAGTTATATTTACTTCTACGAATACTTAATGCCTGTTATGTAGACTGGAATTAATTTAAGTAATTTTTCTTTTTTGGTTAAAATGTATTCTGCCAGGAGGTCACCTGACAATGTTTTCTGGTGTCAATGCATCAACAAATTAAGCAAATAAAAAAGTTTAATCATTGAAGGAAAATCAAGAAGTATTAATAGAATATCTGCTGTGTATCAGCAGGTACTTTAAATGTAGGTGGGACAGAGCACAGTTAAGAGCTGCAAAGATACCTAGCAGTAGGCTTCTAGCCTCATGCATTTTACAGGTTAGGCCATTTGATAGTTAACTCTATCTCATTACAGCAGACAGGGGTGTGTGTGCGGGTGGCATGTAGAGTGTGCACATTTGTGTGGTACGTGTGTCTGAGTGTGTTTGTGGTAGTGATGACGTGTGTTTGTATGTTCACAGTGCCACAGTGGCACTAACCAGCAGACGGTGTCCAACTGAGCAGACAGACAAGGTGCTAATTCTTCTTCATTCAACTCCTGATGGCTGGACAGCGTGTGTTAAAGATCTCGCACAAACAGTTGAGGTGTGCATAGAAACTGCGAACAACTGCAGATTCCTGGAGAACTGTTAAAGTCAAAAAAGCAAAGCAAGAAATCAACTCATGTGATTCTAAATTGAGTAGAAGATTGCTTCTTCTCGCACCCCCTCCTGCCACACACAGAAGTATGGATACAAAAAGGAGAGAAGGTATCTGCCTATTTACATGAAAAATGACTCTCCCCTACAATCACCTTCTGTCAATAAAAAACGTATTTTCTGACATGTCAATTAGGTGATTCATAATCCAGATGACCATCCCCTTCCATTTAGTACCGCTGGGCTGGGTTAAATGTCTCAAGTGTTTACCCTTTATGACCAGTGTCGTGGGTCTGTTCTCAGTCAAACTGGCCCGCTCATGACATGTTTGCCTGTAGGATTTTTCTTGCAGTAAAGTAACCATTATTATCAGATTTTAACCTGAATGGCAGATTAGGACAGTGGCTTTAGCATCAGCGGTGGAGAATGCTTGTTTTACAGCACCTTGTATCCGACACATAGTGTTTGTGGAAAGAGTTTGATGCATAGTAAATACACTGTAATTTAAAAATCTACTACAGCTTACCTGGCAGAGTTGGGTACTTCAAAAGGATCCCCCGTTGCTCAAAAACAGGTTATTAGGGAGGGATTTTAGGCTAATTGTAAAAGATTGAACTGATAATAAAGTAATCACTTTTGAAAAATAAGGCAACATTCACATGATATGTAATTAACAATGCTGTCTATTTGAAATGTACACTCAGTGATTTCCAGTAAATGAAGTGATCATTTTTAAAAGATTAGTGTGCAAGGATTCTAGGGAGATGGGGAATAAAATTAACCACCTGACATTTTTTGGTTATGAACCTAAGAAACATTAAATAAGCACATTATTGACGTACCAGAATGTTCCTTTGTTTTTCCACAATGCAATCTTCAAATGAGTAATAATATATTTTTAGTTTGCTGAAGGCATCAATTATTAACTATTAGAATAAATATCATAAAGGCATTTCCCATTTTAATTTTTTTTTAGTAGAAAATAGAAGATAAAACTTTGGATTGTCCGAAAGTAGATCCTCGTACCTGGTGATTCTCAGAGGTGAAAACATGTTCCCACAGAGATAAATACAATTCCGCTGAAGATCTTTTGGATTACAAGCTGTCTGCAGCAGGCTCCCAGCTTCTCTGCCCAAGATTTTCACTTATCCTCCTGGTATGTGGTGAGTAACAACAGCCCCCTGCCCAGCTCAGACCAAATAGAGAAAGATAACCGCTGCTCTTAACAAGAAGACATTGGCTGTGAGGTACATAGAAACCTTTTTGAGTCCCAATCAGAATTTACAATAACTTTTCAGGAGTTAATGAGTTAACTGTGAAGGAAAAGGTCTAGTAAGTACCCGAACACAGTTAACATGTTGTTTAACCTAGTTACGAGCCTCACTCATTCAAAAGCATGTTGGTAGTAGCATTTACATAGAAAGAATTCTTTTTCTTTTATTAAAAGAGAACAATTATCATCTCTGCTTGGCCATCCTTTTTATATTACATCTGTGTTTTCTTAAGCTGTTGAAATAAAGGAGAATTTGATGAATAATTGGTACTTGATAAATTATAATAATATTTTTGAGGATTATCAAAATTTGATAAATTTGAGACATGGAGGGTTAAGCCAATTGGAATTAATTTGCAGGACTTCTTAGATACTTTACTTGGCTCCTGGTAGCCCAAGATGAGCTGAGTTTGCCATTTCATGGTTTTGATTCTGTTTTTCTTTTAGCCAGTCATATTGCAGAGTATCTTTTTCATCTTTGTATTTTCTAAATACATTGCCTGTTATCTGTTACCTATATTCCTGTTGGGATTTTGTCTGTATTTCACGTCTCTTTCCGCTGTCCAGGTTGTAAATGGCTTCATTCTGTCTGTATTTACTCCTAACTTTTATGGTGTCTTTATTGAAGCATAAATGTAGATTTTTTTGAATATTCACATGGCAGTTGTTCTTGTAATTTCTGGGGTTTGTTGTATTTTAGAGAAGGCTGCACTATTGCCAGATAATAAAGATGTTTTTCTATATATTTTTCTGACAACTGTATTGTATTTAAAATATCTATGTCAGTAGAGCTTTCTACAGTCATGAAAATACTCTGACTTTGTGTTTCCACTGGTCATACTGGCCACGTGCGCCTATTGAACACTTCAAATGTAGCAGAAAAGCTGAACTGTCAGTGTAATTACTTAAATTTTAATTTGAATAGACATATGTGGGTAGTGGATTCATATTGAACAACACAGATATTTAATCTCACCAAAATTTGTTATTATATGCATTGTGGGGTGGTGATTTTTCCTACCTGAATGGCCAGTTTTCATAACACAGCTTTTTGAACTATTCTTACATTTCTAATGATTTTAAAAGTCATTTATATCATACACCAAATTCTCATGTACTTGTAAGTATATCTGGACTCCAGTCTATTTCAGTGATCTAGTCATCTGTCTTTGGCAAAACGTCATATTTTTAAGTAGCTCCTTAATTAGCTGATAAGGCATTTCCTTTGTCAGTGTCTTTCTTTTTCAAAATTTGTTTCCTCCTTTTGCATATTTTCTTTTCCAAGTGAAGTATGCAAGAAGCTTGCCAAATTCCATAAAAATATTGTTACAATTTTCATAGGAATTTTTATGAATTTAGGGGTTGGCACAGGGGGATGGCGCAGTGGAGCTGCTCATAGCATGGCAGAAAGGAAGCAGAGAGAACGTGGAGGATCTGGGGAGGGAGATACAACCCTCCAAGCCACCTGCAGGCATCCAGCTCTTCCAGCCAGGCTTTGCCTCCTAACACTACATTTAGGTATAAACTCACCAGTGGGCAAATCCACCAGTGACCATCACACCCCCATGCTCCAGTTGCCCCCCAAAGCCCCACCTATGAGTGCTTGAGGCTTGGGGGGCAGATATCAACCAAGGTATTGGTCTTGATGAGAGTATTTTTAAACTCTGCTGACTTTGAGTTGGTACAGTTTCATACAAGATCTTTGTATTTTTGTTCACTAGGGAGGATCACTGATAGTTCTATTTTGTGTTTTAGTTCAGTATCTTTTTTTTTTTTAAAGTAAGATGACACTTGTCTCTTCAGATAAATTGAAGAGGAGCTTTCTGCCTGTTTTCCTGTGCCCCTGGAAAACCATTTATATTATAGTCTTTTTGTTAGGTATTTTGTAAAATTTGTGTGTACAGATTGTTTGGGTTTGGTAAAAGCTTATGCTCTGTAAATACATTTTCTGTCTGTGGAGATTGATTTACTCATGTCTTCTTGATTTAATTTTGGTAATTTATATCTCTCTAGAAAATCCTTTTAATTTATATTTCACAATTAGAGGTGTATAATGTCTTTTAATTTCTAATAATGTTTGAGTCTTATCTATTTTTGCTCACAAAAGTTCTATTACTTTGCCTATTTAAGGAAAACTTTGGTTTTAATTTTATTTATTTTTTCTTTCTCTTTATTAATCTTTTACATGAGCTTAATTCATCCATATTTGGGCAAACTTGTAAAAAGCACTGTCAACACTTTGAATGCTTAGGTTTTTTTTATATTTTGTCTTATTTTTAATGATCATATTTATATATAAAAAGCATTTATGTTGTAGCCCAAAGATTTTTTTATTTTATTTAAGGGAGAAAAAAAAAACCCAAAACAGTATAAGGGTACAAGTAATACAGAATTTAAAAAAAAACAGTAAGAAATCACTAGTTAATAGATTACATATTGTCATCTTACGAATAGTTGTTCAAATTACAGGATTAAAGCATACAAAGTGGACATTCAAACTGAGACTGCAAACAGTTGTGTTCAATGATCCAACAAAAACTTAGTAACATGATCATCTATCTTAACACAGTAAACACACTTGCAGTTGTATCCTTTAGAGCACTTTTTTTTCTTCTCTTTTTTACAGCAACATTTATACATTTTGGGTTTAATTACTCCCATAGTTTTTATTACTTTTTTGGGGGGAACAGAATAAAACCAAATATGACAAAACATAGCAGTCAGTCAAAACAAAGGATGGACAAAGTGCATGATGTAAAAACAGAATACAAGGTAATCAACAATGGTTACCATAATGCCTCTTGCTACCTTAAAAAGAGTTGCCTATATCATTAGGTATAGTAAAATTGAATAAAACAGTACAGTGCAAGACCAACAAAACCGAAACATTGGAGACATTACAGGACTTCAAAAGAAGATAATAGTCAAACCAGAATGGGCATCATAGTGAATCTTATTGCTTCAAAGTAGTTGCCTATACCCTCAAACTTGATACTATCAAACAGAACACAACAGAGTAAAATCAGTCAAAACAAGATGGTGGGAGCAATACAGGGCTTCAAATCAAGTTAATAGGAAATCAAAACAGTTACTATAATATATCCTGCTAATTTTTTTATTTTTTCCCTTAATTAAAAAAAAATAAATAATTTTTTTTAAGAAGGAGGAGATTGAGATAAAGAGGACATAACAAGATAACAATACAGGTCAAAGCATAACAATTTCAGCAACCTAGTGCTTCACCACAAGATAACCCGACTTAATAGTAGTTACCATAGTGTCTCCTTCCTTGAAATATTTGAGTATAACATCATATACTATGGCATCAAACATATCAAGGCAGTGTGAAACCATTCAAGAGGATGAAAGTATTACAGGGTATTTAGAACCAGCTAACGGAAATTGAAAAATGGTTTCTATATTACCTCTTTGCCTATAAAATTTTTTGTTTATATTATCACATATAATAAAATCCAGTAAGATACAACATGATAAAACCAATGGAGACAGAAGAACAAAAGCTTGATGGGACTTCAAAATGAGATGATATTAAATCAGCACTAGCTAATATGATGTCTTGTTTTCTTCAAAATAGCTGTTCATATCATCACAGGCAATAATATCAAACAGCCCAGAATAAAGTCATTCCAATTAATGAGTGAAAACTTTATAAGGCTTCAAAGCCACATAATGGGGAATCATGATTACCACATACTTTTATATATTTGAATTATTTCTTATAATAGGGAAACTTCGGTATTCATACATGTGAGTTTGATTTATTTCACTTCTGAGTATGGTCTCAAGCTGCGTCCATTTATTTATAAATATCTCAATGTGATCATTCTTTATAGCTGAGTAGTACTCCATTGTATAAAAATGCCACAGCTTTTTTATCCATTCCTCAGTTGATGGACACTTAGGTTGTTTCCAAGATCTGGCAATTACAAATTGTGCTGCTATAAACATGGGTGCACATATATATATCATTGTGGTATGATGTTTTCAGTTCTTCTGTGAATATGCCTAGAAGTGGAATAGCTGGAACAAATGGGACTTCCAATCCCAGCTTTTTGAGAAATCTCCAGACTGACCTCCACAATGGTTGCACCAGTCTACACTCCCACCAACAGTGCAGGAGAGTTCCTTTTTCCCCACAGCCTCTCCAGCATTTGTTGTTGATGGTTTTCTTGATCCTGGCCATTCTTTCAGGAGTGAGATGGAATCTCAGTATGGTTTTAATTTGCATTTCTCTAATCAGTAATGATGAACATTTTTCATGTATTTATTTGCCATTTATATTTCTTCATCTGAGAATTGTGTATTCATCTCAGATACCCATTTTTGGGTTGGGTATTTGAATTTTGGGAGTCTGATTTTTTTTTAATTCTTTATATGTTTTAGACAGAAGTCCTTTGTCTGAGGGACAGTTCACTAAGATTTTTTCCCAGTTTGTGGGTTTTCTTTTCACTATGCTGGAGATTTCTTTTGACATGCAGAAACTTTTTAATAAGACGTGATCCCAGTTATTGATTCTGGGAAGTATTTCCCATGCGGTTTGAGTCCTGTTCATGAATTCTCTACCTACGCCTATGTCTTCAAGGTTTTTACCCAATTTGTCTTCCAACAGATTTAGTGTTTCTGCTTTAATATTCAGATCTTTGATCCATGTATATTTTAATTTAGTACATGGTGCTAGACATGGGTTTAGTTTTAGTTTTTTTGGCATATGGAGAGCCAGTTTTTCCAACACCATTTATTAAAGAGACTGTCGTTCTTCCAGTGAACATGTTTGGCCCCTTTATCAAAGATAAGGTGGTTGAGTGTGTTTGTAGTTGTGGTTGTATCTTCTAATCCATTCCATTGATCTTCAGCTCTGTTTTGATTCTG